CTTATAAAACCCCAAAACCCCAAAACCCCAAAACCCCAAAACCCCAAATATCTAAAACCAAATGGAATGTATCTATCTAGAAAGACATCACCAGTATTTGGCTGTACTACGAGGTTTATCAGAATTGCTTTCTTCATTTCCGAAATCCCTAAGTTTGTCTATACATTAAGAGAGGAAGTGTACATGGCTCATCGATTTTAAATTGGTTAACTGTAGCTCCTTTTGTATCATCTTCTTTTCTCTGTGTATGCAAACTTTTCCTTCCGGAATATCTCCCAAATCCTGGGGCTACTCTGGGACTGAAGGTATGGAATTCCGGCTCACTGGAAAATAGTTACTTAAATCATTGGTGAAAGAAATCGAGCAAATAGTTTAAGATGTATAGGTAATAATACTTACGATTCTTTTACTTCCTCGATATTGTTCTTGGTAATTTTAAACTCAGCAATAACAGGGTAATGATCAGAAAAATTGACTAATTTATCCCCATCCTCAGCCTTAACTTTTGCTGGCCTACTTTCATATCAATTCCCTTTGACAGTAAACCGATTCCTCGTTGCTAAAATGTCACCCTTATGACTACTTTTATTCTGGCACCACAGAACTCTGTCACACCATGAAGGAGTCTTCCTCTTATAATATGTATACCTATCCGCCTCCCTCTCCACCTTATAACTCGGCATGAACCCTATCTCCATCTCCTGCATCCCACAGACCACACTATCCCACTTCTTCGCTTCCTCTAACTGATCCTTCCTTAACATCTCCTCCCTCAACCCTTCCTCCTCCCCATTGATCCTCTCAATTACCTCATCAAATTCAAGTTCCACTCTGAAGTTAAGGTCCCCAAAAATAAACTTAAGATCATGGGTTTCGAAAGGAAGAGTTTTGATGGTTGTGAACGCTTGGATTCTGTACTTGTTTCGAGACTCCTCAGCTCCAGAAGGAAAGTGACAGTTTACAAATGCAAATGATCCGAAGTTGGAGATGTCAAATCTGATTAGATTGCACCCTTTGGTGGAAAATAAGGGTTTGTTGATATCAAGGTTTAGAGTTTTAACGGTGTGGACTTTAGCCTTGAGAGAATCTCGAATGAAGCAGATAATAATCATGTTAAATTTTGTCTCACCTGTAATAAGGGAATAGTCTAATCCACGATTGAGATTTTTAAGAGCAGCTGAAGATGAAAATAAGTGAAATACCGCTGATGTCTTTTACAACTGGGATTATTTCTTCAATTTTATCTTTACTATTCAAGAAAATATCTTCAAAATCTGGTGTGGCCTATCAATATAGTAATTGCTAGCTAAAATCTTGACTTACAAGCTCTTGAAATCCTACAACAACAATATCATGCAAATCATCTGGATTTTTCGATTTCAAAAGTGTCTCAAAATCGACTTTCTCATGAGGATTTGTTTCAAATCAATTCAATGTCAAAATAAACACATTATAGTACTCTTCCATATCTATACACTCCAATGACCCTATGGCTCCAAGCCCTTCAAAATCTCCTAAATCTTCATTTCATTCCCTAAAAATCCCAAACTGCTCTCTGCTTGTGCGTACCGACCAAATTATGCTCTTCCTTGTCTTCCTCTTTTTCCATTTAATTTTATTGCAAATTTCTTTAGGGGTTTTGGGGTTTTGGGGTTTTGGGG